CCCGGGGCCTTGGTGTTATCAGCACCGCACTCTCCCGAGTGAGCCACCGGGCCGGCCCAGTATGATAAACATTGGTTGTGTTCCTGAAAATGATGGCTGAGTAATAGTTACTTTGGAGAAGCAGTTGGTACAGAGTTAAAGCAAAAGTTCTGAACCTCAAGGCCATGATCTCTGGAGAAGTCTTCCCTATTCTCTCTTCCCATCTTTGAGCCTTGGGAGTGAAAAATTATTACTTGAGCAGTTTATATTTATTGAGAAGCCAGTGCGTGGAAAGCTAAATGCTTTGGATGGGTTTGGGTTATCTCATTTATTCTTCTATGAGTTAGATACTGCTGTTATGCCCAGCTTTACAAGTCAGGGGATTGGAGGTGTAGTTGGCAAAGGGCAATGTTAGGACTGTCTGACTCTGAAGCCCAAATTCCTTCTAAAACACTACCCTACATTTGTTAGTTCTGAAAATACCCTAAAGCAATGAACAATAACCATAAAATGCTAAAATTAGTAATACCTAGGGTGAGGTTATAAAGAAAGTAATATGGTCATACTACATTGGTGGGAATGTGAATTGGCGTCACCTTTCTGAAAGACAATTTAGCAATATTTACCAGAAGAATTTTAAGTACAAGTACCCTTTGTTTCAATTATTAAACTACTAGAAATTCATCCAAAAGATTAACTGGCAATGATATATGTGCAAGACGTTCAGTGCAAAGAGCTAGAAGCAACCAATGTCCTTCAATGAGAAACTGCTTAACTAAATTATGGTACAGACATGAAAAAAAATGAAGCAGATCTATATGTTCTGAAATGGAAAAAACATCAAAATATAGTAAGTGAAATAAAGCAAGGTGCAGAATAGTGTGTATAGTATGATTACTTTTGTAGCAATTTAAAAAAATACATACAGAAGGTGAATTGATAGATATACTGCCATATAAATAGTATTTTTTCCCTGAAAGGAAACACAAGAAGCATTTAAAACAGGCTTTTAAAATTTTGTTTCCCTCCTCCTTATGTTCTCTATTAAAAAAAAACAAACAAAAAACTTCATCAAATTTTTAAAATAAAAACCAAATAGGTAGGCCGGCCTGTGGCTCACTCGGGAGAGTGCGGTGCTGCTAACACCAAGGCCCCGGGTTCGGATCCTATATAGGGATGGCCGGTTTGCTCACTGGCTGAGCATGGTGCTGACAACACCAAGCCAAGGGTTGAGATCCCCTTACCGGTCATCTTTTTTAAAAAAACAAAACAACAACAACAACAAAAAAAACCCAAATAGGTAGCATTTAATGAGTCTTCATAATGTGCAAGGGACTATGCTAAGCCTTTACCTGTAATACCTCAGTACATTCTCCCATTAAATTCTTGTCTCCTTTGTACAGGTGAGGAGTTAGAGGCTCAGACAAGTAAAAATCAGTTGCTTGAGGTCACACAGCTAATAGATGTGGGAGCTGCAGTTGAAATGTTTGTCTGCCTCATTTCAGAGCTCTAGCTCTGAACTGCTGGGCTGTGCTAATTGGTCTTTATACCCTCATTGCCTAATGAAAGTACACTGGTGGACAACTGGAGTCTAATGAGATAATGTATGTGAAAATACTTTTCTAAGTATAGAGATGTTTGGGGAGGGCGGCCAGGGGTAGGGAGTTTAAATTGGGCAGACCTAGCCACTGACCCCTAGACAGTCAGAATATTGTTTTTGTTTGATCAACAACTGTCTTTGTTCCTCCTTTAAAAATATTAAAGTTATATTTACTCCCCCTTTTCTCAGTAATACCTGGTCATTGTTTAAAAATTAAAATGATATGAAAAAAATAAAGTTATTTCATAATAACCCTCACACATAATTAATGACTTTCAGATCTGAATGGCTACATAACTATGGCACACTCACACTCGCACATTTTACACAAATGGGAGCAACTATATCTTTGTTCACTAGCTTGCTTTTACAGATTTACAATATGTCTTGGCCATCTTTTCATATCAGCACTTACAAATCTACTTTTGTTTTTTTAATACCTGCATAATATCTCATTTTGTGAACCCATATGTATGTAATTTTTTAAATCATCTATTAAAGGACATTTAAGTTATTTCCAATTGTTTGCTTTCCTAATCAATGTTGTAATGAATACCCTTTTAAAGAAAGTTTGGAAGGATTTTCAGACCGATGACATTTGTCCCCCCTGTAGTTGATGAGAATGACCCATCAGGACTCTGTACTGAGGGGAGAAGTATGTTTCACTGTGTGGAGAAACAAAGAACTCTCTCCAAAACACGGCCAACACATTCAGAGATTTTAGAGTTGCCAATAGGTGGGACGACCTCAAAAAGAACTCCCTGTTTTGACAGGTTAGTAATAGAGCAGAGACTTGCTACGATTGCTCAACACGGGCTAGCTAAAAAGAGGAATTTCCAGACTCAGTTACAAGCACGGCTGGTGGAGGGCCGTGGATTCTACCAGACAGTCTGGAGACAGCTAGACAGTGAGATGTGCAGCAGAGTTCCAAATCAGGCAACAGCACGTGTGGAAGGAGGCATGACCTGTGGGGAGATTCATAACTCATAAACCAAGGCTCTTCCAGCAGAGGGCAGTGCCTCAGATATCAGGTAGGACCCAGGCCAGCTGGACCCAGAGCTGGGGACTTCGCTGGAGTGATTGTACCAGCCTGAGGCCGAGGAGAAATTGAACTAAGCTGTCCTTTGAGTACTGTAAGTGACATTGGAGAATACTCAGGGAGGGACAGCGGGACTTCACACTACTGTGATTCACCTGTTTTCTAAGTCTAACAATTTGGGTTAGGTAATAAATTTCTTTATACAGTTTGGCATTAGGGCTTGCAAGTAAGGGAATTTGGAGTCAGTTTAACTAGGCTGGCCACGGAGTCTCTCGGGTTTCTGGGTGAATGCTTGAATCAAAAAGGGAAGGACATGCCTAAAGTATAGCCTAGCCTTCTGGCCCTGGGGTCCTGCAGATGTGACACAAAGTTTACGAATAAGAAGTTAGCAGAAAGAAAGACATGTAGGAAGTAACAATGTTATCTAAAAATAGAAACTTAGTGTTCAACACTAGAGTTATTATTTGCTTTTGAATTTCAATAACTACAAAGGATGGCCTTTAAAACAAAACTTTCACTGGAAGAGCCAGTCATGCCAATTGCTATGCATGCAGATAATCAAAGTTCAAACGAAACGAGTCTGCAGGCCTAAACCGTTTCCAATCTACTCTTCCCTGAATATTGGTTACCTTTTCTGCTGTGGAGTAGTTGGAATCACACAGGGACAAAACTGAGTAGAGTACCATAAAGTCGATTTCTAATGCCATTGTTTTCGAGCCTTGTGATAAAAAAAAAAAAAAAAAGACTTTGGTATTTGCTGGTGGAGTCAAGGCAGATTTGCCAAATGATAAAAGTACCGTGTGTTTTTTGGTTTTTTGTTTTGTGTGTGTGTGTGTGTGTGTGTGTGTGTGAGTGTCACTGTCAGGCACAGCTAAGTAAAACATCACATACGAAACCAGAGCAGTAGCGAAGTGAATGGGTAGTTGCGTGCATTTCTTAGAAAAACATCAAGTGGAAAAAATACCAGCAAAGAGAATAAACTTTCTGGGCTGTTTTATTTTCCCTGCACAACTTCTAGTCCAGGGATGTCAGGCGTTCTCCCGGTCGCTAGATTAGTAGCTGGCGGTCCTGCACCGGCCAAAAAGCGGTCAAGTCCTCAGGCCGGGCGGGGGAGGCTGCGAGGCACAGGGGCTTCGGCGGCTTTGGGGCTGGGACGGTCCGCAGCAGCTGCGGGCGGGAAAGGCCGGCCGCTGGACGTCCTCCGA